GAAAGACCTTCCCCGGTTCTTCGTTCGCGAAGACTGGCCATTACAGTCCTAACTACAAGCGTATTTTCTCCTTTAGACAGACTGGACATTTACATTAAATTATTAGCTGAAATAACAAAAGCGAGGCTGTGGGACCAAACCTGGATCTTCAAAGGTTTTTTCCCACTACTAGTTAATTTCAAAAGAATGAATCTGAAGATGCTGAATTTTTATTATACATTAACCTGAAAATAAAATCTTTAATGCTTACGTGCTTCTTTTGCTGTGAACTGTGCAATAAACACTCATATTTAGAATAAGGTGTTAGTACAGGCACTCTGGCGGTCTTTTAATTGACACATTCCTTATAGCTCTGTACAGACCTTGGTCTTATGGTCAGCCTTCTTTGCCCTTCCTTTTTCCATATGTTCCACTCAAATCAGCTCATATACACCTCACCAGGAGGAATGTTTGTGATATTTTCTCCTTAAAACTCCATAGGTTATTATTTGGCTGCAATGTGACTGTCAAGGACACTGCTGATCACAAGCTCATTAGAAGCAGAAATAGCTTGTCCCATGAGTTTCTTTCTACAGTGACTCATGTGCAATGATGCTGGAAGGGCTTTCATCACCCAAAACCAAGTCCTGGATGAGAAATGAACCTCATACAGCATGATGTAGACCATTCATAATGCTATCAGAAGTACTTTAGGAACCCCAATCTGCAGAAAGTTTTACAGTCTATCTTCTATTTTCCATCACAGCCATTAGGAGAATGAATCTTCCAGTGAAAATTAAGTTTATCAGAAAGATCTGTGTGCAAACTAATTTGAGCAGGCATTTTCTAAAAAGTAGGCCAGAAGAGAAGAGAGATTACTTCTGGCAAAAATGAAACAAATTAAATTATAAGAGGCTTAATACATTTATTTGAAATTTAATTGCATAACCTAATGTCAAGGTTATTATATGGTACACGCTGTTCTCATCCAAATTCAAAACAGTAAAGTACAAGCTTGGTTTGCAGCCACTTTATTATAAATCCAACCCCATTTATTTTTTCAATACTGACCACAGTGTTTGCCTGAGCCACAAAATAACATTTCAAAAAAATTTTGAGATGTCTCCTTGGCAATGAATGCTGATAAAATCTGAAGCCTCTCTGGTATGACTGACTTCGACTGCAAGGAAAGGTTAAAAAGAAACCCAAAATCTGAGCCAGTGTTGTTGAAATGATGCAAGAATGTACCATAGAAGCAAAATGACTAGAAAGAGATTCTCACTGTATTTACACAGTTCTGCTCTGAGTCCATCAAACCTGCAGGTTTTGTTTTCTATTCACGAGAGAGAGATTAGCAGAAAAGGTCACTCTAGCATTCTCATTATAACATCTCTATGCAATATGCTTTCTGTGTTTTACGTGTATTAGAAGCTGTGCCTGTGCAGAGAACACACTTTAAAGCATTTAGGCTGTGTCCAGACCTTCTCTATACTTCTAAAGCCAGTCACTCCTATCTAAATTATATGTCCTGACCTTCGGGGGGTTTTGTCTGTTTTCAGATCTCCAAGTGCCTGAGTAACACTGGATCAGAAAGGAAATTTGTGCTGCTTTTGTCTGGGGTAAAATTAATTTTCTTCATAGTAGCTAGTATGGGCTATATTTTGGATTTGTGTTGGAAACAGTGTTGATAATTTGGGATTTTTTTTTTTTTTAATTGTGGAGCAATGCTTTTGCACAGCCAAGCCCTGTTCTTCATCCCACACTGCCCCACCAGTGAGGAGGTTGAGGGTGCACAGGTGACCCCAACTGACCCAAGGAATATTCCATACCATACGGTCTCATGCTCAGCGTATAAAGCTGGGGAAAGACAAAAGGGATGGTGGCAGGGAGGACATTCAGAGTGATGTTTGTCTTCAAAAGTCACCATTAAGTGCAAACAAGCCCTGCTTTCCTGAGGATGGCTGAACACCTGCCAACCCATTGGAAGTGGTGACAGAATTCCTTGTTTTGCTTGGCTTCTGTAGACAGCTTTTGCTTTACTTATTAAATTGTCTTTATGTCAACTCATAAGTTTTCTCATTTTTACTCTTCCAGCTCTCTCCTCCATCTGGATGTGGTGGGAGTGAGCAAGTGGTTATGTGGTGCTTACTTGCCAACTGGGGTTAAACCATGACAACATTATAAAAAACAATTGTGCATTTAACTGTGTGCCACTATGATTCTAGTGGACATGCAAACCCAGTCTAGGTTTGTAGCAACATCATGTAAAAGCACCACCTGCGTTTTTTTTCCAAAGGAACAAGTAATAAAGGCATAGTAAATAACTTTGACACTTAGCAGGGAACCATAGCCTGAAATTAAGAGGCTTACAATCATGCAGAACAATATTAATTTAGCGTTAATAAAAATAAATGTTGTATATTTTACAATCATGTCACTTGTTTTTCATTAAAATCTGAAATTACTAAAAAATATAATTTATTGTTTGACCAGGTTAGGGTCTCTTACAGCTGTACGAAAATACACAAGTGAGGGTTATGAAAGTACAGAAAGGAATTCTAAAAAATAGTCCATTACTCCCAAGTCTTGTAGACAACCAAATCCTCCTGTATCAACCTTCGTCCCGCTTTTTTTTTTCCCCTCCACATAAGCAAAAGACAACTTGTAAAAATCTTTTCTATGATTCTGTTTCAGTGCTTGGAGTAGCACAATTTTAACTGATAGCAACCATCACTCAGATTCCTTCTTTGCAATCATTTCTTGTGTGTCAAAACAAACAGATGCCTTGTGTACAACTTGGAGCTACATTCCTGGGTCTGGGAAGCTCCCTATGAGCTTCTCAAGGGAAAAGTTCACTTCACTCTCTAGTTACCCTGACTGAGACTCTGTTTGCAGAATTCATTAAAATGTCCATTCATGGTCAAAGACTCCTCAATAGTAGATATACAAACAACATATTTGAAAGAATATAGTTAACATTTCAAAGACGAAAAATCCATGAAGTTTAGGAGAGAAACTGAAACTTACCCCAAACTCGTCCCTCCACTGATGTGATGCTTGGTACTTCTCTGCTTCCTTAGCAAGACGCTGAAGACCAAAAGAAAGAAGACATAAATTTTAGTCTTTACTGATTCCTCACATAGCAAAGTCTTTCTTTTTAAATTTTTTCCTATACATGTTTTCTCCATATAAATTATATCTATATCAATCTTTTTTTTTTTGCACTTACTTGAAAATTGTTTATATTTGAATATACACCTCACTTCAAAAATGCTATTTTCTGAATTATTGACTTATTGAAGTATTATAATCATGAATTATTAAACTTAACCCTCACTCCAATATCATTTAAGAAGTTCTAGTTAAGTTCAAAATCCACAAATATCCAGCTGGAAATACTTCCTCCTTACACACACCACCTTGCCTTATATGTATTAATTTAATCTACCATCCAGTGACAGGTATTTATTAGAATCTTAAAACAGTGCATTATGGGCATTTATTTCTCCATTATATCATTTAGCTTCAATTATAGAAACTACTGACAGCCCTGTGATTATTAGGGACCCATAAAAACTCAGTAATTTGGACTAGCTGGAGTCCAGTCTCATGGATTGAATTAGCAGCTGGACAGTAACAAGCATGCTCCCAGAGGGCATTTTTCTCATTTACATTAATTTGAATGCAATCCAGCCTGTCCACTTAGCCCCATAGGAAGCAAAGCACAGTGCACAAGAATGATCAGATGATGCTCTTTCAAACCAATCTCTTGTACAGATACAACCATTGGGTTGGATGATATGTTCCTCTTTATATAACATATGAAGCCTTTGAAAAAAAAGTTGTTTGGACATGCTTATGAGAAGTTTACTATAATTTTGCATATACATGTTGCCAAGATAATGTGTGTTCTCCAGCTGAGCTGCACGTAGCATTCCCCAAGCCAACAGCCCTGGAGGCAAGCACCACTCCCAAAAGCAAGCCAGCTCACTCTGAAGAAGCAGCTACCTGATGTGAATGTAGTTCATGTGGAATCAGCCATGTTCTAACTGTTGAGTGACTCACTTTTATAACTGAATTATTTTACAGCCCAAAAAAACCCTAAAAATCTTCATTTTTAAGAACTCATGGTTCCTTTCTAACACATACAGGCTGACTATATCCACCAGATAAGTAGGGATGAAAACTCTTTATTGTGTAATAATATGTGCACAGTAAGTTTGATGATCCTTTTAATATTCAGAACAATTTCTAGACAAAATGAACTCGTGGTCTAAGTCACATTTTCAGTTGAGTCACCTTGTCAGTTCTTGCTAGCAACCAAAAATATATACGACCAGAAAGTTCACGTAAGCCAGAACCACAGAGATGGAGCTGTCAGAACCTCACCTCAGACCTATCCCAGACTGCAACTGCTGTACTACCTGATCCCCTAAGGGCACTTTTCCCCACTCTAACAACTACCAGGACGATACATTTCAGAAAGAAGAAGTTAGGATCTTGACCTTTTTTTTAGGTTTGCAATCTTTCTACATCAACAAACCTCTGTGCTCTACTGCCACAAGATGTGCCCCCACTCAATTGTTGTATTGTCAATTCAAATGATTCTTAGCTAACAGAAAGGTACGGGCATCTTACAGACATTGCCCTCTGAAAGTACCTCCACAGGAACCAAGTACCATATTAAAGAAAAAACCCTAATTTCATGCATTACACTGGGAAAAAGCAAGTTTTGCACTGGATAAGAATCTACAGTATTTTCAGATTTTTTTGTAATATACTACAATAACTTTTTCCATCTAATTTCTTCACTTAATCTAGCCAGTTCTGCATCTAAATTTGTATATCCTCTGATGAGTTCAAGCTGATTAAGTCATGTTTCACCAGACTGTAGCAAAGCAAGACATAACACTTACTGCTGCATGTGTAAATAGCTGCAGTTAACACTGCCCTCAGATTTTCCTCACACTCTTCTTCGTTGCCTTAAGGTACCCAGATAACCACAAAAGACAGTAGAACCCAAATGCACTAACTGATAGGCTGATTATGAAGAGAAATATTTACTGATCATTAACACTACTAGGAATTTTGCATGGAAAGAACTGTAGCCAAACTTGAAATTCCTCAGCTCCATTGGTAGACTTCTCAGCAAATCTGCAGTATCAAATGAAAATGCTTAAAGAAAATTAAAAAAAAAAAAAAAGTTGTTTTGCATTGTTTTGTGTTGTCTCAAATGCAGAAAAAAAAATTCCTCACAAAAAAGATATTGTATTCTTATTCTCCTTAAAATTTTTCAGTCAGGTTTAAGTTAGAACCCATCCTAACTGCCTAAGCAACCTGCTAAAATAACACTACATGCAGTATCTACAGCCTTTATACCTTAAAATAGCTCCCAAAATGAGAAGCTGTCATTTGGGGTATATGTATAGAGTTCTGTTAAAGGTACTCAAGCTCATACAAAAATACAAACAAGCAGTTTAGGAAAAATAATAAACCATGAGAAAACAGTTGTTCCTTGACACCTAAAACCCAAAGCCAACACCTTACTGGAAGTACACATGATCACGAGCCAAGCCAGGCCTATGCACATAGGCTCCAGCAACAGGCTGAGATATCTTTTTGATTTCTTCATCATCACTGCTTAATGCATTTGCTCTTCTGCATTTGCATCACTGCATTTTGCTCTACTGCCTAACAATTTTTTTTTTTGTCCCTGTTATTAGATAAATTTTTCAAAATTTTAACTGCAATGTATCCAACAGTTTATCTGGAATGTACATTTAGAATGTACTTCCTATTACCCTGTGTCAGAGATAGAATTAAAGTCTAGTCAACTTAACAAACCCCAGTATTGTTTTCTATGAAACAGATCATCATTTAATCAACAATAACTATAAATGCTACACAGGTTATTAGTAGGTAATACACTGGCTGTTAGACAGGACTAGAATAAATCTGTAAGTTGAGTGGTCACAAGAAAAAGATATCTGATCTCTCAAAATGGGGATACATATTGTATTTTCACTTTCTATTACTGCATCAGAACAATCCTGGGATTCTACAGCTATGTAAGTTGCATATGGATAAACAATACAAAATCAACTCCCGGAGACCAGTCTACTACAGTAACCTGATTACCCAGCTCATTTTCAGCAGAAAACTCCTTAGCAACAATGATGTGTTTTACAAGGACATGGATCAGGCAGTGACTTCATTTTCAAGATATGAGTGTTTTAAAATACAGGGGTTGCTGATATGAAGTCTGCACATGCAAAACCCAGTATCACTCTATCCCGTTCAGTACCATATCTTCTTAGGAAAGATAAGAGCATAAAATTTAAATAGATAGATATAGATATGTATTACAAAGCTAAGGTGTTTTCAGAAGCTTTTAATTTCTGTGCAGCGAGAGCACTGCTACTACAGCGACATGGAGTCTAATAACTGAGAATTCACTCTTCCACATAAAGAGCTTTGTTACAAGTCAGAGTAAGACATCAAGAGTCCGGGGTCAAAAATCGCCAGATGGTTAAGCAAACTCAAGTTACCTGTGCCCTTTATTGTGACACAAGGAAGGACTAATTTCCCATCTCTCAAAGAAATCATGCCTGCTTCCTTCTGAGGTATGCAAATGTAAGGTCTGGCCTTCCCTGTTTTGATGGAAGAGTCCCTGGAGAATGCCAAGAGAGAAGCTGCACAACAGCCGGCTGACACCTGGCGCTTCCCATTCTCCCTCTCGTTACAATGCGGGGTTTAATACGGCAACAGCCTCTTTAACACCATGACCCACTGCAGCTCCCTGCAGGTTTCTCCAGCAAATACTAAAATACTGGAATTCAAATCTTTATGTGTAAGAAAATAAGCAGGAATGACTTAAAACAAACATGGAAAACAATATTCCTGCATATTAGCTTTTAATCCTTTCTTCCTCCGTGCCTGTGTATTCTGCGCTGTGAAGATGAAAGCTGTGAGATGTTTTCATGTCTTGAACGAAGCTCCATCTAACATAATTTTTTTGGATCCAGAGCATCAAAAACAAAACAACACTAAAAAGGGAAAAAGGAACAAAACCAAGATGTAACAGAAACATTCTGGCTTAAAGAACTCTGTACCGTCTGCTGGAGAACACAGATTCTCCGACTGTGGCAGTGAATTTACTCTGAAGTGGTAGATAAATTGAGAAACCATGACCAGGAAGAGAGGGCTGCAAAGGCTAACAGAACACTGTAGCAGCTATTCATGCGCTTTTGGAGGATGCCTGACAGCTGTGACATGGTGCTTCCAAGTAAGGGATCAAAAGAGCTGATGCCAGGTTTAGCCAGTGTGATTGACACAGTAGCTGATGTCAAATTTAAGATGCTTGAAAGCACTGTGATTAAATAAGCATTTGTTTAATAATTTTCCTAGATTAAAAAATTACATCTTTTTTTTTTCTTTTTAATTTTGCCTTTTTAATTTTTCATTAATAACAACTGCTCTCTCATTTTCTAAACTGTGTGCAGGCTGTATTATTTACAGGAATTTTCAGAATACTTAACTCATTAATTAAAAAAAAAACAAATACCCCTTGAAATATATTCACTGCCCACAAAAAAGTATTTAAAATCAAACTTTGAAAGTAGTCAAGAGTTACCTTCTACTAGATTTCCCTAAATCTTTCAAAGGGAACAGTTACCTTTAAAAGAAGGCAGCTACTGGAAACATAGATAAGATACGTGTGTTGTTATTCACTCCATCAGCCTATGAACCTTTCTTTAACTTTTAAAGGGACTACAAAATATTACATACACAAAAATAATAGAAGAGAAAAACAGCAAAAATACAGGCCCAGTTGCTGTCAATCTCAAACTGTCCATTTTTGAAGGTCTTGTCCCCCGTTTCCGAGTGCACTTTGCTATCTCTGAAAGGCAGTCTCTGATGCAGCACAGACTGCAAGAGAGACCTGAAGAATCTTTATCTGATCTGTAAAGATCAACTCCCTAGAAGGCCTATTCATCTTCCAGCCTTCAATTTTTTGAGTATATGTCATATTTTTATCTCTTCCTAGCCAGCACAGGATTCTGTCAGCAAATGGTCCAATTACAATT